GAGATTTTTTTTCTAACACTATTGTTATCTTTATTGGTTGTTCAAAACATTACAAAGCTCTTGACATATCATATTTCATACATTTGATTCAAGTGGGTTATGAACTCCCATTTTTACCCCGTATACAGATTGCAGAATCACATCGGTGACACATCCACATTTTTACATATTGCCATTCTAGTGACTGTTGTATTCTGCTATCTTTCCTACCCTCTACTATCCCCCCTCCCCTCCCCTCCCATCTTCTCTCTCTACCCCATCTACTGTAATTCATTTCTCTCCCTTGATTTTTTTTCCCTTTCCCCTCACATCCTCTTATGTGTAATTTTGTATAACAATGACGGTCTCCTTCCATTTCCATGCAATTTCCTTTCTCTCTCCCTTTCCCTCCCACCTCTTGTCCCTGTTTAATGTTAATCTTTTTCTCATGCTCTTCCTCCCTGCTCTGTTTTTAGTTGCTCTCCTTATATCAAAGAAGACATTTGGCATTTGTTTTTTAGGGATTGGCTAGCTTCACTTAGCATAATCTGCTCTAATGCCATCCATTTCCCTGCAAATTCCATGATTTTGTCATTTTTTAGTGCTGAGTATAAAATTTTTGTCATTTTTTAGTGCTGTGTATAAATGCCACATTTTTTTAATCCATTTATCTATTGAAAGGCATCTAAGTTGGTTCCACAGTCTAGCTATTGTGAATTGTGCTGCTATGAACATCTATGTAGCAGTATCTCTATAGTACGCTCTTTTAAGGTCTTCAGGGAATAGTCCGAGAAGGGCAATAGCTGGGTCAAATGGTGGTTCCATTCCCAGCTTTCCCAGGAATCTCAAAATACTGCTTTCCAAATTGGCCGCACCAATTTGCAGTCCCACCAGCAATGTACAAGTGTACCCTTTTCCCCCACATCCTCGCCAGCGCTTGTTGTTGTTTGACTTCATAATGGCTGCCAATCTTACTGGAGTGAGATGGTATCTTAGGGTGGTTTTGATTTGCATTTCTCTGACTGCTAGAGATGGTGAGCATTTTTTCATGTACTTGTTGATTGATTATACTCTGAGAAGTGTCTGTTCAGGTCCTTGGCCCATTTGTTGATTGGGTTATTTGTTCTCATATTGTCTAATTTTTTGAGTTCTTTGTATACTCTGGATATTAGGGCTCTATCTGAAGTGTGAGGAGTAAACATTTGTTCCCTGTATGTAGGCTACCTATTTACCTCTCTGATTGTTTCTCTTGCTGAGAAAAAACTTTTTAGTTTGAGTAAGTCCCATTTGTTGATTCTTGTTATTAACTCTTGTGCTATGGGTGTCCTATTAAGGAATTTGGAGCCCGACCCCACAATATGTAGATCGGAGCCAACTTTTTCTTCTATCAGACGCAGAGTCTCTGATTTGATATCAAGCTCCTTGATCCATTTTGAGTTAACTTTTGTGCATGGTGAGAGAAAGGGATTCAGTTTCATTTTGTTGCATATGGATTTCCAGTTTTCCCAGCACCATTTGTTGAAGATGCTATCCTTCCTCCATTGCATGCTTTTAGCCCCTCTATCGAATATAAGATAGTTGTAATTTTGTGGATTGGTTTCTGTGTCCTCTATTGTGTACCATTGGTCCACCCGCCTGTTTTGGTACCAGTACCATGCTGTTTTTGTTACTATTGCTCTGTAGTACAGTTTGAAATCTGGTATCGCTATACCTCCTGATTCACACTTCCTGCTTAGAATTGCTTTTGCTATTCTGGGTCTTTTATTTTTCCATATGAACTTCATGATTGCTTTCTCTATTTCTATAAGAAATGCCGTTGGGATTTTGATTGGCATTGCATTGAACCTATAGAGAACTTTTGGTAATATCGCCATTTTGATGATGTTAGTTCTGCCTATCCATGAACAGGGTATATTTTTCCATCTTCTAAGATCTTCTTCTATTTCTCTCTTTAGGGTTCTGTAGTTTTTATTGTATAAATCTTTCACCTCTTTTGTTAGGTTGATTCCCAAGTATTTTATTTTTTTTTTTTGAGGATATTGTGAATGGGGTGGTTGTCCTCATTTCCAGTTCAGAAGATTTGTCGCTGATATACAGGAATGCCTTTGATTTATGCATGTTGATTTTATATCCTGCTACTTTGCTGAATTCATTTATTAGTTCTAGTAGTTTCTTTGTAGACCCTTTTGTGTCTTCTAGGTATAGGATCATATCATCCGCAAATGGTGATAATTTAAGTTCTTCTTTTCCTATCTTAATGCCTTTAATTTGTCTGTCTAATTGCTCTGGCAAGTATTTCGAGAACTATATTGAATAGAAGTGGTGAGAGAGGGCATCCCTGTCTTGTTCCAGATTTTAGAGGGAATGCCTTCAGTTTTTCTCCATTTAGAATGATGCTAGCCTGAGGCTTAGCATAGATAGCTTTTACAATGTTGAGGTAAGTTCCTGTTATCCCTAGTTTTTCTAGTGTTTTGAACATAAAGGGATGCTGTACTTTGTCGAATGCTTTTTCTACGTCTATCGAGATGATCATATGATTCTTATCTTTAAGTCTATTGATGTGGTGAATAACGTTTATTGATTTCCTTATATTGAACCAGCCTTGCATTCCAGGGATGAATCCTACTTGATCATGGTGTACGATCTTTTTGATATGTTTTTGTATCCGATTTGCCAGAATTGTATTGAGGATTTTTGCATCTAAATTCATTAGGGATATTGGTCTGTAGTTTTCTTTCTTTGAGGTGTCTTTATCTGGTTTGGGAATCAGAGTGATATTGGCCTCATAGAATGAATTTGGAAGTTCTCCCTCTTTTTCTATCTCCTGAAATAGATTGTAGAGTATTGGTATTAGTTCTTCTTTAAAGTTCTTGTAAAACTCTGCTGTATATCCATCCGGTCCGGGGCTTTTCTTGGTTGGTAGTCTTTTGATGGCTTCTTCTATTTCCTCACTTGATGTGGTCTGTTTAGGTTGTTTATATCATCCTGACTCAATCTGGGTAGTTCATATGTCTTAAGGAATTTATCGATGCCTTCACTATCTTCTATTTTATTAGAGTATAGATTTCAAAATAATTTCTAATTATCTTCTGTATTTCTGAATTGTCTGTTGTGATGTTGCCTTTTTCATCCAGTAAGCTAGTAATTTGGGTTCTCTCTCTTCTTCTCTTTGTTAGCGTGGCTAGTGGTCTATCAATCTTATTTATTTTTTCAAAGAACCAACTTTTAGTTTTGTCAATTTTTTCGATTGTTTCTTTTGTTTCGATTTCATTGATTTCAGCTCTAATTTTAATTATTTCTTGCCTTCTACTGTATTTGCTGCTGATTTGTTCTTCTTTTTCTAAGGCTTCAAGGTGTAGTGTGAGGTCATTTATTTGTTGGCTTTTCCTTCTTTTAAGGAATGAACTCCATGAAATGAATTTTCCTCTTAGTACTGCTTTCATAGTGTCCCAGAGATTTCGATATGTTGTGTCTGAATTTTCATTTATCTCTAAGAATTTTTTAATTTCCTCTTTGATATCTTCTGTAACCCTTTGTTCATTCAGTAACATATTGTTTAATCTCCATGTGATGTAGGCTTTTTCCTTTCTCACTTTATTATTGATTTCCAATTTCATTCCATTATGATCAGATAAAATGCATGGTAGTATCTCTACTCCTTTGTAATTGCTAAGATTTGCCCTGTGACATAATATATGGTCTATTTTTGAGAAGGATCCATGTGCTGCTGAGAAGAAAGTGTATCCGCTTGATGTTGGGTGGTATATTCTGTATATATCAATTAAGTCTAAATTATTAATTGTATGATTGAGCTCTATGGTTTCTTTATTCAACTTTTGTTTGGAAGATCTGTCCAGTGGTGAGAGAGGTGTGTTAAAATCTCCCATGATTATTGTGTTGTGGTCTATTTGACTCTTGAACTTGAGAAGAGTTTGTTTGATGAACGTAGCTGCACCATTGTTTGGGGCATATATATTAATGATCGTCAAGTCTTGTTGGTGTATGGTTCCCTTGAGCAGTATGTAGTGTCCTTGTTTATCCCTTTTGATTAACTTTGGCTTGAAGTCTATTTTATTTGATACAAGTATGGACACCCCTGCTTCCTTCCGGGGTCCGTATGAGTGATATGATTTTTCCCAACCTTTCACCTTCAGTCTGTGTATGTCTTTTCCTATCAGATGAGTCTCCTATAGGTAGCATATTGTTGGATCTTTTTTTTTTAACCCATTCTACTAGCCTATGTCTTTTGATTGGTGCATTTAAGCCATTAACAGTTAGGGGTACTATTGAGATATGGTTTGTATTTCCAGCCATATTTGATTATGTATGTTACTTAACATGATTTGTTTTTCCTCTATGATAGCAATGTGCATTTTGCATTCTGATCTCATTTGATCCTCACAACCGCCTCTGTTGAAAGCTAACATTTATTGAGCATCAACTATTAAAATATGTTCAATATTTAAGATGAGAAACAAAGGATCGGGGTCCAAAACTGGTATTTGGAGATCAAGGGAGCCTTTCCACTTTCACCCTTTCCTTCTAGCCCTGGATGTTTGAGTAGCTTTTATGTGCAGCCATCTCTTCTTTAAATGCACCACTGCCTCCCCACCCACCCTCCCTGAGTCCTCTGGCAGGGTCCATCTGATTCCTTTGCTGAGATTGCTTTACAGAAAAGAATTCTTCCTGCTGAAGTTACAGAAATAGGAAGGTGTGAGGATGGGACTACCAGTCGCCATTCTTCCCACTTGGAGAGAGCCTGACTCAGCTTGAAGCCGTTGCATAGAAAAGGACAGATGGAGAGATAAAGCCTTACCAATAACATTTGGTCTCCTGGATCCAGCCATTCCTGAAGGCCCAACCAGTTATTTGAGCCAATACATTCCCCTGTTGCTTAAGGCAATTTCCTTTGAGTTTCTTTTGCTTGCAACTAAGAATCTTAACAGAGTCTTAACACTGCCAAGACACTAGATGTCACCTTTGTGTCCACAGCCTCCACCCCAACAAACAGCCCCACTCACTTTGTGATCTCCTCTAAGGCTGCCTCCGGCAAGGCCAACATCTCCACCAGCAGAGACAGGATCTCAAAGAGCAGAGTGTGGGGGTTCGGGGGAGCCATGTTCGCCAGGGCATTCTGTTCTGGGGACATGGGATGGTAGCTGCCATTACCACTGGGTGGCCCTGGATACTGCCCACCACCACGTCAGCCTCTTGATCCCCTCTCCAACTCTAAAGGCCCTGGTTCCATCCCTACTCACCCACAGAGCAGAAGAAGCGTTTGCTGTCTGTCATCACAGCCAAGAAGTCTTTGAAGTCCACATGACCATCTCCTGTGAAGGCCAGAAGAGGGACAGGGTGGGCGGGGCCCAGAGCATGTCCAGGCAGCGCAACGCAGGCATGGTGACCCGCATGCACTCAGTGGGTCGGATTATGAAAGTCATGTGCCTTCACTGCATGGTGTGCATAAGGAAGTAGAAGGCTACGAGGAAAACCTCCTGGGGTAGAAGCCACTAGAATTTGTGCTTTGGAGGCAGTGTTCTGAGTTCACATCCCAGGGCTACCTCTTCCTACCCAGGTGACCTTGGCCAAGTCTCTTAAACCCAGTAGCTTTCGTTTTCTTTTCTTTAGAGTGCAGATAATCATAATACCTATCTCATGGGCGATAAAAACGAAGTCAAGTGCTTAGAACAGGCCATGTATATGTTAGATGCTCACTAAATTCAGTGACTATTATTGTTGTTACTGAGTGCTTGTCACTGCACAAGAACACACACCCATGAGATTTCCCCCTGGGCCTTCAAGTCCCTGCAGGATCCCCTTGTCACCTGTGTCCAGCCTCACTCTGTGCCAAGCTCCCAGGCACTACCAACCTGCTTTCCCAGGGAGCCACTTTGTTCCTTGCTCAGGGCCTTTGCACATGCTGTTTCCTCTGCCTGGACTCCTCTTCACCACCCTGCAACTCTACTCATGCAAGGCAAGCACTCTACCTACTGAGCTGTTTCCCCAGCCCATTGCCTCTTAACTTTTATCAGCCCTGGCCCAACAGCACCGTGTCCGTGAGCCCCTTGAGGGCTGCAAGATGAGTCCTACACGTCTTTTTATCCTCAGTGCCCCAAATAGAAATGGACACGCAATGAGCACTTAGTGAATACTTACTGGATGAATATATTAGCAGTTACTATCTCCCATACCCTGTGCTTAGTACTTGGCCTGGGTTATGCAAAAGCCTGATGAGATAGGGACCGTAATCAACCCCATTTTACAGAAGGAGAAACTGAGGGTTCATGAAGTTCTGTGACTTGGCCAAGGTCTCACGGCTGGTAAAGGGAGTAACTGAGCAGAGGAGGAACACTTGGTGGAGCTTGCACTGGAAGCCGAAGGGAAGAGATCCCAAGATCCACCACCCTGGGGTCAGGAGAAGGTTTGGGTCATCTTTGGGTCCCCAGCAGCTGGCACTGAATAGGTGCTCAGGGAGCCTCGGCTCCTGGCACCAGGATCTGCTACATAATTTGTGGGATCCAGGGCTCAATGAAAATGCAGGTCAGGGTCCCCTGTGTACAGAGAATAGCTAGATTGTCACAGCGCGCCTTAAACCAAGCACCCATCCTGCAGGCGCGGGGCCCGTGATACGCCTGCGCGGGCTCTCAGCCACAGCCAGCTCCTCACCGTCCACGTCGGCGCTCACCAGGACGTCCTCCACCTGGGCCGGTGTCAGGGAGAAGCCCACCAGGAGCAGCATGTTCTTGAGGCTCTGCGCGTCCACCTCGCCAGGGCCGTTGAAGATCTCAAAGTAGCTGCGGAAGGCTGCGAGGAGAGCACGTTACCTGGGGAGGGGCACCCTGTCTTTTTCAGACACCCTCCTGCCCCAAGTCCTCTACTACCGTGAACAGATGAGGACAATGATAATTAGAAGAGCAAAAGTCGGGTGGACACCGAGGCCCATCTGTAAGCCACTCAGGAGGCCAAGGCAGGAGGATTACAAGTTCAAAACCAGCCTCAGCAACTTAGTGAGGCTCTGTCTCAAAATAAAGAAGGGCTGGGGACTTGTCTCAGTGGTTAAGCACCTCGGGGTTCAATTATGGATACCAAGAAGCCAGGCTGGCAAAAACTCACCTCACTGGTGACGTATTTGGTGACAGGAGCATCCCTACCCCACTTCGGGACACCGTATGCCATGCCCAGGTTCTCAGTCCCTACATCGTCCTGTGGAGCAGAATTCCTACTCCCTTTGTAAAGATGGGGAAACTGGGCCCAGAGGAGTGGTGACTCCTTTCGAGTCTAAGCCTGTGTCCTTGAGCTTGGTGTCTGCACTCCTTTGTGTGGAAATGGCTTCCAGGGTAACTTCAGTGTTCTGGGACAGAGCAAGGGACAGGAAGCTCACCAAGAAAGTCCCAGAGCCGCGCGCACTGAGAGGAAAGGCCAGAGGGGTCAAGACGGGCAGCCTTGGGCCTCTCAGCCTGCAGCAGAGCCCGGTCAGAGAGCCCGGTGACTGGCTCTGTCCTTGAACAAACTGGGTTGCTGCTGTAGGCTGAGCTGTGTCCCCAAATTCACATGCTGAAGTTCTAACCTCCACATACCTCACCTTGTGACTGTGTAGGAAACAGAGCCTTTAAAGAAGGGGTTAAGTTAAAACGAGGTGATCAGGGTGGCGCTGATCCAATCTGATTGGTGTCCTTACAGAGCAAAAGGAAATTCGGACACACAATGATCTTGGGGCTGTGCATGCACAGAGGGAAGGCTGGGGAGGACACGGCAAGAAGGCAGCCACCTGCAAGCCAAGGAGAGAGGCGTCAGGGACACCAGCCCAGCCTTGGACCCCCAGCCTCCGGGACTGTGAGGAGATAAATGTGCTCGGGCCAGCCAGCCTGCGGGTACGTGGGTTTGGTAGCCCGAGCTGACCGATGCAGTTCCACAGGCAGGTTGCCATCGTCCTGAGCCGTGGTTCCGTGTCTTGTGTGACAGGCAGAAGCGGGCCGCTGCGTGACTGTATCACTGTATGCTGCAGGTGCCCAGCAGAGGTGAACCGTGGGAGGGGGACGGCGGGGACAGAGTGGGGTAAACTGGCCTGCCCTGGCAGACACCAAGGAAGGAACAGAACAGCTCCCAAATCCAAAGTGAAGGTTCAGAATGTCCCAGGACAGCTGGGCGTCGGTCAGCAGTAGGATACCTGCTCAGCACATGCGCCTTGCCGTCCCCAGCACAAAAACAAACCAACAAAACTCAAAATGCCCAGTGGCTTGAGCCACTGGAGCAGAGAAGTCACCCTTTCTTCCCCAGACAGGGACTGATGGTCGAGGTGGGAACCTTGAGCCTCCGTGTCAAAACCGCGCATTGTTCGTAACAACTCGAGGAGCTGGGTCTGTGCTTGGAAGAGGACCCCTACTAGGTAGCGATGGGTAGCTATGGAGATTTTTGTTTGTTTGTTTTTGGGGGGGTGGGTACCAGGGATTGAACTCAGGGCACTCCACCACTGAGCCCCATCCCCAGCCCTATTCTGTATTTTATTTAGAGACAGGGTCTCACTGAGTTGCTTAGCACCTCGCTGAGTTGCTGAGGCTGGCTTTGAACTCACGATCCTCCTGCCTGGCCTCTCAAGCCGCTGGCGCCACCAAGCCCGGCTAGCTATGCAGTTTTGATGCTAAAAGGACGAGGTCACTGCCCTGGAGCCTGTGAGAGCATGTGAGGAAGGCAGAGGGAGGGGCTGCTTTGTCCAAGAGGGTCCCACACTTTGCAAAGGAAGACAAGGGAGGAGGACGCACACCTGTTCTTATAAGATGTCAGGGGCTGAGGTACCGTGGCCCAGCCCCAAGGACAAGCAAGAGCCGAGGGCACAGGTGACTTCCAGGGCAGAGCTTCAGAGCTTTTAAATTTGGGGGTGGGTGGAAAGCAGTGGGAAAGGGGGACCTGTCGGAGGCTGGTGGCCTTGTCGATGGAGAGGGACTGTCTAGGATAGGCCGGGGCCTGGGAGCACTGTGTCCCGCCCGAGCTTCCTGCCAAGAGGACAATCAGAGCAGCTTGGAGTGAGGCCACACAGCCTTCGAAGCCCACCAGGCTCTGCAGGACCTCGTCCCCCCTGGAGCTGGCAGAGCCCAGACCTTAAGTCAGAGAAGTCAGTGGGCACAGCGCTGTGGGCTGGGGCTACCTCCCACGCCCCCTGTGCCCAGGCCACCTGCAGATAACCCAGGGGCCCCACACAGGGCCGTGGGGCTTGGGGGCAGCAGTGCCGGGCCTGGGAGAGCTCACCTTCCTCCTGCTTCTGGGTGAGGTGCTCCTCCGAGCACTCCTCGCAGCTCTGGTACAGCTTGAGGATGCTACGCTCCTGCAGCTCCTGCCTGCGGAGCACTGGATGTTGCCACCTGGGCCCAGGGCCACCGCCAATGGCCATCGGAGGGGGGGGGAAGCCAGGACAGAGGGGGTCATGGCAAGAGCCCTGTGGGTTGGGGGCAAGAGTGACGGGAACAGGAGCCAGAGGGGGAGCGAGGCCGAGGGTGAGGAGGACCAGCAGGAAGGGAAACAGAGACCAGGGGACAGGGCTGGAAGTACTCAGGGGGACAGCCCAGGAGGGAGCAGGCAGGTGCAGAGACAGGGACGAGGCCGGGGCTGGGGTGGCGCCTACCGTGCCTTGGTGTAGCTCAGGCTCCTGTCGTTGCTCTGGGGCAAAGGCTCCGGCCGCCTCCAGCCCAAGTCCATGGTGGGGACCGACAGGACTGGGCAGGGCCCAGTGGGGTCCAGGGCGCCCATGGGGGCAGGGCTCGATCCTGGGGCCATTGGCCGGGCCCAGGGCGGGGCTGTGGCGGGTGTGGAGGCCGGGGTCTGAAGCAGGGGCAGGGGCAGGCCCGGGGCCGAGGTGCACACGGGGCTTAGGGTCTTCGGGGGCTTCCGTGTTGTCAGAGCTCCTCCGGCCTTCGAGGTCCTCCGGTGGGTGGCCTCCTCCTCCTCCAGCTCCAGCAAGCACTTCATGAAGCCCTGCCAGGCGTTCCCAGAGCTCTGGGCCCCCGCAGCCTCCTCGGGCGCCTGCAGCTGCTTCTGCGCGAGGTACAGCTCCCGCTTTTCGCCCGTGTCCCTCACCTCCTGGGGACAGGGGAGGGAATCCGGGAGGCCTCCAGCTGGCACACTGTCCCTCAGGGCTGCTTCTCGCTGCCCTTTCCTCTCTGAGCCCCCAAAGGAGGGGACCCAAACCTCCTGCGTCCCACGACCTCAAGTCAGAGGAGTCAGTAGGAAGCGTCCCACAGGGCTCCCAGCCGTGTCCTCCCTCCCCGTGCCCCCCCCCCCATCTATGATCCTTGGCATGGAGTCACTCCCTGTCCCTCCACTGGGTGCATCTCCTTCCTGCAGTCTGCACGGGACGCCTTGTCCCCATCCCCGTGTACCCAGCACAGGGCAGGCACGTCGCGAATCACCTCTTAGTCGTTCAGCAAACCCAGCCACCTCCTGCGTCTGTCCCCTCCCATCAAACCATCAGAGGGAAGAGACCAGGGCTGTCCCCAAGGCCCACCCCCACACCAGCACCAACCTAGGCCTTTCTCTGAATCCAGCATCCTACTCTCTCTCTCTTTTTTTTTGGGGGGGGGCGGGTAATGGGATTGAACCCAGTAGTTCTGCACCACTGAGCCACATCCCCAGGCCACCCCCTTTTTATGGAGACAGGATCTCATTAAATTGCTGAGGCTGGTCTCTAACGTGTGATCCTCCTGCCTCAGCCTCCTGAATGGCCTGGATTAGAGGCCCCCAAGCTTGACATTCTAAGGCCCTGGGCTGGCCACTGCATGCTTGTTCTTCAAAGGTAGCAGCTTACCTTTCCTACTGGGCTGTCCTCCCTAGCATGTAATGTATTATCTTCTGTGTGTGTGCGCGTGAGCATGCGCATGTGTGCAGGGGTTGCACCCAGGGCCTGGTGCACACCGTCCACACCCTCTATCACCGAGCTACACCGCCACCCCTCCAGCTGCAGTCCCTGTCCCCTGCTCCTCTCCCATAGCAAAATGACTTGAGTCCACCGTCCTGATCTCCACCGCCCCCACCCCCCCAAGCTGCTCTTAAGAGGCTGTGATCAGATCCTTGCCTGCATCTGAGGGGATCCCTTGGCAGGGTTGGACCCAGATGACCACTCGGGCCTCGGTGGACACCTTCTGCCCTGGACCCCATCGCCTCCTGGGCTGTTCCTCCTGCGCCCTGCCCTGGCTCAGGGTCTGTCTCTAAATGTGACCTCAGACTCCTCCCTGTTCACCCCTCCCCGCCGTGGGCTGCCTCCACGGCTGCTTTTCTCACATTCACATCCCCAATCCTGACCCCACAGTCCTTCCTAACGCCAGGCGTCTTTCTTAACCTCCTGCGTGTTCTAGAACGGGACCAGGGCAGACACCCTTCCTCCCGCCAGCTGCTTCCTGGGCACCCCCCACACACACTGAAAGGAGACCCCACCTGATGCTTCTTTTCTTCATCTTCTTTCCGTGCCGGGGATCGAGCCCAGGCAATCACACTCGCTCGGCCAGTGCTCTACCTCGGAGCTGCACCCCCTGCCCTGTCCTAACCATTTTGAAGAGTACATGACATTAAGCGCATTTAGAACACGCAGCCACAAAATTACATACAAGAGGAAGTGAGGGGAAAGGGAAAAAAAAACAAGGGGGAGAAATGAATTACAGTAGATGGGGTAGAGAGAGAAGATGGGAGGGGAGGGGAGGGGAGGGGAGGGGAGGGGATAGGAAAGGTAGCAGAACACATCAGACACTAGTATGGCAGTATGTAAAACAGTGGATGTGTAACGGATGTGATTCTGCAATCTGTATACGGGGTAAAAATGGGAGTTCATAACCCACTTGAATCAAATGTGTGAAATATGATATGTCAAGAGCTATGTAATGTTTTGAACAACCAATAATAAAAATTAAAAAAAAAGAACACGCAGCCACCACCACCATCTAGCTCCAGACCTCTTTTCATTTTGCAAAATCATACCTGTTAAACAATCCCCAGTACCCCTTCTCTCAGCCCCTGAAAATGGCCATTCCGTGTCTGTCTCTGTAACTATTCTAAAGTACCTCCCATAAGTGGAACCAGACAACACTTATCCTTTGATGATCGACTCGTTTCACCTAAGTCCTCAAGGCTCATCCATGTCATAACGTGTCAGAATTTCTTTCCTTTTTCAAGACCGAATAATATTCTATTTATGGATGTGCCACATTTTATTCTTTCCTCCACCATCTATGGATACCTGCGTAATGATGTTATGAACGTGAGTTTACAAATGTGTCTTCCAGACCCTGCTTTCAATTCTTGGGGGAAGGGTTGCTGGATCCTATGGCAGTCCTATTTTTATTTTTTGATGGTGCTGTTTTTAATTGTTTGAGGAGCCACCGTGCTGCTTTCTGCAGTGGCTGTGCCATTTCACATTCCTGCCAACAGTGCACAGGGTTCCAATTTCTCCATATCCTGACCAATGCTTGCTATTTTATGTTTCATTTTGTTTGGGAAACTAGCCGTCCTGATGGATACCAGCCCAGAGTCTTTTTTGAATCCTCTTTCTCCAGCCACTCTCTTCCAAGGTCCTCAGTAAGACTCATGTCACCCCCTCCCAAATCCCACGTGCTTTCTGCCACCTCTGCTGCTGCCACCCCAGTCCAAGTCACACCATCGTCGCACAGTGTGTTGCCACGGTCTCCACCCTTTGACCCTTACCCAGGTTCATTATCCAACCAGCTGCCACAACTGTGCGATCCCAGCCCAGAACAGAGCATCTCACGCTCTTGCCTGAAGCCTGGTGGTAGCTTAGCTTAGGCTCAAAATGTGCTCCTGACCTTCACTGTGGCCTTCAGGACCCTGCACAACTCCCTGGACCCCATTTCCCTCCTGTCCCCTTCCCCCAGTCCGCCTTCCTGCTGAGCCTGACTTTGAGGAGCTCATTTCCATCAGGGCCCTTAGCTGCTGCCGCCTCTCCCCAGAATGATCTTGTCCCTTAACTGCATGGCTTGCTCCTTTTGGTCATTTGAGTCTTGACTCAAATGCCACCTCCTTGACCGTGTGCCTCCCCGTCAGCGTACCTCAGCTGTCTCCCAGTCTCTCCTGCTTCTCAGGCCGGACTTGCTCAGAGTGTTCTAATTCTTGGTGAAACTGTACTCGTTTGCTCCCGTTGGTGACCTCTCTCCCTCTCAACTAGATCCTAAGCTCCTTTTGCCATTAAACCCGCCGTGTCACAACTGGAGGATTGTCCTCAACAAATTTGTTCTAACTACACACTGTATCTCACTTTTCTCAGTGAAGTCCAAGGAGAAAGTTCAAGTCTGAACAAGGCACTGGCACAGAGGAAGAGCCGGCTCACAGTCGGGTTGAAAATAATCCCAGTTGAGCACTCTGCAGCCCAGAGGGGGCCCCAACTCCCCCAGTGCCAAGTATCCCTTGGATCATTTTCCTGAATTATGGGCAAATGCTCAGTTTCCGTCAGGCATAAAACAAACAAAAAACCAAACTTCACAAGTAGTTCTGGGTTCCCCCGGCTACATTGCAACCGCGGGGCCCCACGGACTGTCCTCACCTCTGCCGTGGCCCTCACGGGGACCTCAGTGCTGCCCGAGTCCTACGTCCCTGGTCCCACCTTACATACAGACTCTGAGCCCCGGGACATGTGGGGTCTGTCCCAGAACCTTCCACATGATTCAGAACCCAGCACAAAGCTTCAGGCCCCTCAGCAGCTCAGCCCACGGCTGAATCCAGGACCCTGACGTCTCCCTGCCCGCGTCAACCTCTCCCTCCACCTTCCCGAGCCCCCTCCACCTGGACACCACGTGTCCTGCGTGGGCTGCTGGAGGGACCCTCTCAGCTCTTCTGTCCCTGACCCCTGCCCCTGAGCCTGCAGATTCAGGGACATGCCAGTCCGCACCCTAGGGTGCTCTAGTGTGTATTGTCGGCCCAGCCCCGTGCCAAGTGTATAGAGGGACATGGGAGAACCACGTCCAAACATCTCCCTCCAGGACTGTGCAGGACACTTCTCCAGGTGGCCTTGGACAGATCCAGCTCTCCCTGTTTTTAGCGTGTGGTTCTCAAAAATTTAGGAAGTGCTGGGAATGCGGTATCCTGAGTTGGGGGGACCTGGCTGGACAGCCGGACTCCGTTTCAGTCCCTTCTGGAAATAGAACGCTGTAGCCGGGCAGATCACATCGTCCTGGGTGCAGGACCCACATGGGCAGCTCATGGGGTTCTCCAACAAGGGAGGTGCACAGAGAAGCGCCTCTGTCCACCTGAGCTCTCCCGAGCCTCGGGAACCTCGTGTGATAGCCCGGCCTGGCTTTCCGCCACCCTGTCCACTGCACCCAACCTCCTTGCCCGGGAGGCCCTCTGCCCAGCCGTGCCCCTCCCTGCACGTTCCTTCCGGACTCTCTATCTCGGCCTGTGTCCTGCTGCCTCCTGGGCGCCCTTCCCCATCTCCCCTGCATTCCAGGGGATGACCCCAGGGCTCCTTCCCTGAACGCCTGCGCATTTCCTGCCTAGGGCCCCGCAGGTCCCCCAGTCCTCAGGAGCCCTGGGCAGCCCCCCACCTTCCTGCCTAGTACAGGGCCTGGAGGGTCACAGACACTAGGTTCAGACTGAGCCCTCTCCACTGCTCCCCTCTGCTCTCCCTCAGGGTCCAGTCCAACGGCGCATGTGGCCGGGAGAAGCTCCAAGTAGATGCACCCACAAGGGACATTTCCTGTTTCTCCTCTGACTTCTCACTGGGCAGAGAAGCACCCCACGGTATTCCCATCCGTTTCTTTATTCAACAAATTCAAACTGAGTCCCAACCACATGCAGGATGTTGTTTTAGGTGCGGAGCATAAAGCGGTGAATAAAGTGGAGTCGACACCCTCGTGGAGTTTACGTTCTGGATAATAAGTAGTTTGACAAATTATTGGGATCATATTGAGCAAAGAAAGTGTCACAAGGATGACAGAACCAGAGAATGTGATACAGTGACTGTGGCTGACAGGTACTTGAGATCGGTGGGCCAGGAAGGCCTTCCTGAGAAAGTGACATGAATGACTTCATGGAGTCAGCCATGAGAATGTGTACAGGGAGAATTGCAGGTACCGGAAAGAACATGTGCAAAGGCCCCGAGGTGCCAACCAGTTTAGCCTATTTGAGGGATAGGAATCTCGACAGAGTGGCTTGGTGAAGATTTTGGATCTTATTCTAAGAGGATGAAGCTTGGACCAGGGTGATGGGAGAGGGGATGGTGGGAAGCGATGGATTCAGGATGTATTTGGGAGGTAGTGCTAGGCAGGGCTTGCTGATGCCTTGAGTGTAAAGGAATTGTAGATGGCATTGGGAGTGACTTTGAGCTGACAGGATCATTGCTGAGACAAGGAAGGCTGGGTGAGGAGCGGACGTGAGGTGGGCATTGTGATGTTCTGCTCGTGTTCAGCTGGAGAAGCAAAGTAGCCGTGTAAGGGGGCCTCACTTAGGCAGCTGGACATAAGAGCCTGGACTTCAAAGGCAAGGCCTGGCCTAGAGGTTAGGATTTGAGAATCATGGAGAGAGGGACCAAGATCACCCTGCAGGAGGGTGGAGATTCAAGATCAGAGAGCGGAGCCCTGAAGACAGAGAGGGTGAGGAGGGGCCGGCCAGCGGCTGTGAGGTGGCCCTATAAGGGCACAATTTGACATTTGATTTGGGAAAATGCAGATTGTGGAGACCTCCATAAAAAAGCTCATTGTGGAAAGACAAGAAAGTGGGGTGAGTGGGGGGGACTCCCGAGGGACCACGTGGGCGAACAAGCAAAGAGGGGAGGCCGGGATGGGGTGGAGCGGGTGTGGGTCTTGCAGACACTGACCCGGGTCGTGTGCTGAGGGGAACCGTCCCGTTGAGACGGGAGCCTGGCCATGGGCGGGGGGACATGGGATTAAGTCTACGTGGTGGGGGAGCACGTGGCGGTGGCCCCGTCTGTCCTCACAGTTTCCATCGGAATCCGGAGAAGCCAGACAGGGTGGTGGATTCGGGGTGGTTCTTCTCCCCTGGAACTTCTCATCTTTCAGGGACTAGAGAAGTGAAGTCTGGTGACATGTGCGAGGGATGCCATTATGCAAGGACATCCTGGTGTTTGAAAGGGAGCCTCCCGTGGGGCAGGGCGGGGCGTGTGGCTGGGCGATTAGCCAGGGTAGGGTGCGGGTGGCAGAAAGAGACAGTGAGAGCATCGTGTCCAGTCAGAGCCGGGAGGTGGCCGAGCTGGCAGAGGTGGGGATGGCTGGACCCCTCCAGGTGTCCCAGGAAACTCTGGGTCGCGAGGCTCTAGCTGGGGGCCAGTGGGTGGGAGAAACCCGTGCTGCTGTGGAACGTCCCAGGACTGGGAGGAACCCAAGACTCCAGAGTGTCCTGCACCCTTGACCCCACTCAGATCCGCTAGGCACACCCGGGTGCAGCGCATGGCCCCACGTGGCTCCTGTTCACGTCCTCCCAGGTGGACGCCCAAGCCATCCCATGTCTGTCTCTGCCCCCCTCCTCCCCTGGATCCCCAACACACACACCACGTCTCCCTGCCCACTCCGGCCCCACTTACTGGTGGAAGAAGAGGCCCCGGTGCTGGCTGGGTCTCCACAGCTTCGCCTCTAAACAGAGGAGAAATCCCCCCGTGGGGGAGGGGCTCAACTTGAGACTTGTCCCTGTGCCCACCTCTCAGCCCCCAGGACACTCAGGCCCGCCACCCATCCTCACCCCTCAGCCTCTCATCCCGGGGGACCCTCTGCCCCTCATCGTTACGCACACAGGCCCCCAGAACAGAGCTCAGGGGGAGCGACTGTACATATGGGGCAACTGAGGCCCAGAGGGTATAACTTGCCCAGAGTCCTGTAGCAGATCAGGAGCAGCCAGGCTGGACCTCACATCACCTGTGACTTAGCAGAAGCGCAACCCGTGAGGGGCAGGAAGGGGGACAGGGGATGGTTTTGGAGGACGACTCACCCTTCTTTGGGTGTTTTAGGTCCTGGTGTGGATGGCAAAAGGGGGTTGGCTGTGTCTTCCTCTGCAGGGGTCAAGGGCACTAGGAGCATTGCTTCCTGAGAGCCGTCTTCGAGGTCCCCCGCACTGGGCTCTGGCGCAGCCTCCCGTGGTCTGATGTGTGGGATGCCTGCTTTCTTGGGGGCATCATCTCCCAGTGGCTGTCCACAACTGTCCAAAGGGCAGGAAGACTCTGTCGGCTGCAACATGTCTGACCCATCTGCTGCCTGGTGACCTGGTGACGGATACTCCAAGCCCTGCTGAAGACAGGATTCGAGGGTTGGGGAGCCCCGTCTGGTTCCTAGGTGAGCCTCAACACCCACGGACACCAGTGACCACGGGCCTGCTGCTGTCCAGGCACCACAGGCCCCTCCGAGACAGCAGAAGGAAGAGGAAACTGGGGCCCAGGGAAGGCAGGGCCACCAAAGTCATGGTCCAAGCCTCCCTGTGGAGGGAGAAGGGGAGCCTGGGAAAGCCAGAAGATCCCCTTCAAACACAGAGGTCTTGGGCACCGTGGCACACCCCTGTAACCCCAGCATCTCAGGAGGCTGAGGCTGGAGGATTCCTGGGCAACTTAGCTCTCTCAAAATAAAAAATAAAAAGGGCTAGGAGGTAGCTCAGTGGAGAGTGCTCCTGGGATCAATCCCCAGGACAAAGCAAAAGCTCAAAAGCTCGATAATAAAACAAACCACTCAATTTTTAACAGGAGTGGGAAACAGAAATGGAAAAGACAACCCTCAGAATGGAAGAAAAATTCCATTAATCGTACATTTGATAAGAATCAGTATCCAGGATTTAAAAAGAATGTTCATGCCTCAACAATAAAATAACTAATCAATTTAAAATAATGAGAGCCAGGTGCAATAGCGCACGCCTGTAATTCCAGTGGCTTGGGAGGCTGAAGCAAGAGGATCGGAGTTCAAAGCCAGCCTCAGCACCTTAGTGAGACCCTAAGCAACTCAGTGAGACCCTGTCTCTAAATTAAAAAAAAAGAGGGGGGCTTTGTGCTGGGGATATGGCTCAGTAATTAAGTGCATTTGGGTTCAATCCCTAGTACCAAAATAAAAAATAATAAAAATAAAATAATGAGCAAAATATTTGAATAGACATTTCTCCAAAGAAGATATGCAAATGCGCAGCATCCCGTGTCAGTAAGGAAAGGCAAATTAAGATCCCCATGGATTTCCACAACATGCCTATTTGAATGCTTCAATTAAAAAGGCTGACTACAACATCCCGGGAGGATGTGGAGCCGGCGGAGCTCTCCTGTGTGCTGGGTGTGTGTGTGTGTGTGTGTGTGTGTAAAACACACAATCACTTGGGAGAAAAGTTTGGGAGTTTCTTAAGTTAAACAGACACGTAGCACAGGATGCGTTCCACTCCTAGGTACTCGCTCAAGAGAAATGCAAGCACAGCTCCATTCAGATGTGAGTGTTCACTGATGGTTTCCCTGATTAGTCAAAAACTGGGAAACCACCCAAATGTCCATCCAGAAGCCAATGCATAAAGACACTGTTGCACCCACACAACTCAGCCACCAAAACAACAAAGTATCGAGAGATGCAATAACAGAGGATTCTTAAAAACAATCACACAGAGGGAAAGAAGCCAGACAGAAGAAGGTAAAATTCCAGGAAATACAAACGAATCTACAGGTACAGCCAGTGTTGCCTGGGGATGGGGGATGAGCAGGGGGAGGGATGAGGAAGGACACACGGAAAGCACTGCGGAGTTGCCCAGTGCAGTGGCGCACACCTGTAATCCCAGCAGCTTGGGAGGCTGAGGCAGGAGGATCTCGAGTTTGAGGCCAGCCTAGGCAACTTAGTCAGATCCTATATTTCAAAATAAAAAGGGCTGGGGACGTAGCTCAGTGGTAGAACAGACCTGGTTTCAATCCCCCACCAAAAAAACAAAAAGTGTTCTGGGGAGTGATGGCTGTGTTTGTTTTTCTTGATTGTCTATAAACAGCAAATTGTGTGCTAGAAGTACATGCCGATATATGTCAAAGATACTCCACCGAAGTTGTTAAAAGAAAACAAAAACCCTACATCTTAGAAATAGATAAAGAGGAAAGTTTGTTTACATAGGCTTGGAAAAGGCAAGGTACTCTAACCGTGTCTTGCAAGATACGGCAAAGTCCGGCAGCCCCGAGGTCACCCTGGTGCACAGAAGCATGCGTCTGCTTTGCCAAACCCAGTGTGTCCCCATATTATCTGGATCTAGAACTCCCACCCTGGCCCAGGCCCCTGCAACTGTGACACCCAGCGGGCAACCTGGCCTGGAGACTTAACACTCTGTGCAGGCGCGCGCCTGGGGTATCCCAGGGACAGCTCCGGCCTCAGCAGCTCCCGGGCACAGAGGAGGAGAGACTCAAGCGCTCGAGAATGGGGTGCCTTGGCCTCCCTGCGGGTCAGTCACCCCGTGCCCTCTGGCTCGGTTACCTGGGACGTTCTCTGCCAGCTCCCAGGGGGCGGATCCTCCACAGGGCTTGGGGTCTGAGGTCTCTCCTGCTGGTGTTCTGTCCCCACCCCAGGCTGCCCTTCAGGTGTCACAGGAAGCCTGGAAGGTGGCCACCCCGGGTCCATCTCTGGCTTGGCTTGATCGTGGCCTGCTTGCAGCTCCCAGGGCCCTTCCTGGGCTGTCCAAGACAGTTGCTTCTTCCTGGGGAGGACAGACAAGGGGACACCTCGGCTCCCCAACTGGAGCATAGACGTCTAACCTTTCTTGATAGTTCCCGTAGCACCCGCACAGGGCTAGGCACACCACAGGTGACACTTAATGTCTGGGAGGACCTGAAGGATGGGCGTGGATTCCCCAAGTCACACACAACCCGAGGTCAGTGTGAAGGGGAGTTAGGATTCAACCTTTTTTTTTTTTTTTTTTCTTTCTAACTTTATCTTTTGATTTTCCGGGGGAAAAAAAAAAAAGAAACAGAAAAATCAGACAAAACTGGAATTGGGAGGTGAAGAGGCTTGAGATCAGGGGCATGAAGACAGCAGGTCAGCTTCAGATCTATGTCTGTCTGGTCTCGCCTGAACATTCTGGAGTTTTTCCTCTAGCCTTTCCTCCGTGTGTGTGTGTGTGTGTGTGTGTGTGTCTATGTGCATGGGGAACCCAGGAGCACTGGACAAGGGCTATACCACCAAACCACATCCCCAGTTCTTCTTATTTTTTGAGACAGGGTCTTGCCAAGTTGTCCAGGCTGGCCTCCAACCTGTGATCCTCCTACCTCAGCCTCCTGAGTAGCTAGGACTACAGATGTGCCCAGGCTCCTCTAGGCCTCTTGCATATATATATATTTTTATTATTTTTAATATTTTTTAGTTGTTGATGGACCTTTGTTTTATTTATTTGTATGTGGTGCTGAGAATTGAACCCAGTGTCTCATGTATGCTAGGCAAGCGTGCTATCACTGAGCCACAACCCCAGCCCATGCATATATATATACATATATATATATATACATATTTTAAAACGTTTTTTTAATTTTTTTTATTCATTCATTTATTTATTTATTATTTGTATGTGGTGCTGAGGATCGAACTCAGGGCCTTGCGCATGCGAGGCGAGCGCTCTACCACTGAACACAACCCCAGCCCTGCATATATATATTTTTAATGGAGATTTATTTGATTGCATATTTTATATAGTTATGGTACATGTATGGTTTTGTAATCTAGGTTTTTTTTTTCCATTTAACATTTTAACCTAAAGTTTTGCATTCTAAAATCTTTCATAACCTGTTTTTTTTTAATATTTATTTTTTAGGTGTAGATGGACACAACACAATGCCTTTATTTTTATGTGGTGCTGAGGATCTAACCCGGGTCCCGCCCATGCTAGGGGAGCGCTCTACCGCTGAGCCACAATCCCAGCCCTCATAACCTGTTTTAATGATGCTATAAAATGCCATATTTTGAAATAATTAGCCATAATTAACCATTTCCCTATTGTATAGGCATTTAAGAGATTTATTTATTTTTAGTATTTAAATAATATGTACCATGAAGATCTTTTGTTGTTGTTGTTTTGATAATGAAGATCTTTGTGCTTAAAACTTTGCATGTATCACCAATTTTTTCCTTAGTCCTATTTTAAGAAATGGAAAAAGAGAAAGACAGTTGTTTTGTTTTGTTCCTCATCCACCAGCAGCACATTACTTGGGAAGGTTTTTTTTGGTTTTGGTTTTGGTTTTTGGTACCAGGGATTGAACCCAGGGATGCTTAACTACTGAGCCCCATTCTTAGCCCTTTTTGTTTTTCTGAGACAGGGTCTCACTAAGTTACTTAGGACCTCACTAAGTTGCTGAGGCTGGCTTTGAACTCGAAAACCTCCTGCCTCAGCCTCCCAAGCTGGGATTGTAAGCGTGTGCCACTGTGCCCAGCTTCCTTGCAAAGTTTCTGTTTATTACGGCAGTATTCACTTCCTATCATCTTTACTCCTCCCCCCAGTCCAGAAAGATTTAAAAATATATAAATGTGTGTATATATACATATGTGTGTATGTGTGTTTGTGTGTGTGTTTATTTAATTTTTCTCAAGTCTTAGGTTAGAAAAACTTCAGCGGTGCTTTTCCTTGAGAGTGCTGCTTTGGAAGGAGAAGGCAGTCTGTCCTGCTCACTCAAGATTTCCTCTGCTTCCTGGGGAAAAAATGGTCAGTGCTTCTGCTTCCTCTTAATAATTCCTTTCTCAGTTGTCACACATTGTCATCACCACTTGACACCATCTTAGAAACTAGATCATTGGACGCATTTTCCATTTGGCAAAAATTCAGTGTGGCTTTGACTGGGACGTTCAAGCATCGGAAACAGCAGCGAGAGAGGATACACGGAGTCACATAAATCCCCCAGAAGGACAAAGGCAGGAAGGAGACCGAGATGAGGCTTGCAGAGTTCATGAGGCCGATAAACACCACTTGGGTTTGAGTTCTGTGGCTACCAGAGGAACCAAGTGTATCTGATGCCAAGGGTAATCAGAGCAGACATGCACAGAGGAAGTATGGCAGTAAACGTAAATAAAAATATAGAGGCCAGGCATGGTGGCAGCGCATGCCTGTAATCCCAGCAACTCGGGAGGCTGAGGCAGGAGGATCACAAATTTGAGGACAGCCTCAGCAATTTCATAAGGTCCTAAGCAACTTAGTGAGACCCTGTCTCCAAACAAACAATAAAAAGGGCTGAGGATGTAGCTCAGTGAGTTCAATCCCTAGT